ATTTCTGTACTGTGACAGGGGAATAAACTCAATTGAAGGATTCAAACATGGAGGTCATGGCAAGATGGGCACAAATTTGGCAATGGACAATATGTTCAAGGACTTTCAGGATGAAAGAGAGAGTAGAGATGGGACATTGGTTAGCAAGGTCTGTGGCGTCAAGTGTTTTGTTTTGAGGAAGGGGGGATTTCTGCAGATGTGAAACATGAAAAATGAGAGTACCAGATGAGAATTGGCCAATGATAAATATCAGTTTTCAAGTGAATCGGAGTGTAGGTAGGGTGGACTATTGTGTGGTCAGCAGCTTAATGAGAATACAATCAAGAGAACAGGAGAAGGACCTTTATGGGCAAGATGCACTCAGCGAATGTGAGAGGGTAAGTAACAGGGAAAGTAGAGAGAGTTGTATGATCGGGGCTAGGGCTTTAGGGGAAGTGGTGCAGAGTAAGGTTGAAGGGTGACAAGTGGGAGGATGGCAGTGAATGGGAGAGTCAGGGTTAAATTGGGAAAGTACTAAATAAAAACCAAAACGAACTGCGGCTGGTGTAAATCAGGAACAAAAACAGAAGTCGTTGGAAAAGCTCAGCAGGTCTGGCAGCACCTGTGAAGGGTCGCTAGTCCCAAAACGTTAACTCTAATTTTTCTTCACAGATGCTGCCAGACCTGCTCAGCTTTTCCAGCAACTTCTGTTTTTGTTCTTAAATTGGGGTAAGGAAGGGTCCAGGAGGGAACCAGGGAACAGGAGAATCTCAGGAAGCTAAAGGGGCCACTCCAAAATGGCAATGACTGCATCAACAGTAGGTCAATGTTAAACAGGATGTCACATGACAATACACAGCATAATAAAAACATATTGCAACATAAATCAGAGAAACAGGCCATAAGATCAAGATTTTAAAACAAAACAACTTTAAGCAGGGCAATTTAAAACAAGGACTTACTATAAGTAATGGGCATGATCTATTGACTGTGGAGGCAATTCTAACTCTCTTAATAACTATCTGACAGACTTCTGCAATTTCTCAAATGGGTGTAGAAAATTACCAATAAACCAATAATTGGGCCAGTTCTTTAACACTGATATCATCAAATTGCAAAAATGTCAAAGGAAAAAATATTGTCACATAAATTTCAGAACACTGAACTGGGCGCAGCCCAGTGATTAAGTAATTGCTGCATTTTAAACATTGGCTTGCAGCTCCCTTTCCCACGTTGATATGCAAGACACAAACAACTCAGATTATGCTATTTAAATTGAACTTTGAACTCTCGAGATATTCTTGCAAAAAAAAGGCGACCTTATATGGTAAGCATAAAATGCGAACTGCTGGTTATTAGTTTAGGTGCCATTTGGGGTGTGAGAAAATAAACCAGCTCTGGTAATTCAATAAATCAATATGAAAGATTTCATTGAAACAAGTAATTCTGCAAGAATATCTTGAAACTCAATAAAATGTTAAAATCAATCCAATTCAACGCGTTCAGCATCTGACACAAAGAATTTATCAAATTCATTTGGAGTTACTTTGGCTATGGTATCAGTGTAACTCTGGTCCACATTTGGCATTTTCAGTTTCAGAATCATCCCCCTACAAAAAATCATCTTCCTCTCCATCCACTAATTTGACGTTCTGCATTTTTTGTGTGGTCTGAGCACCAACAATATCCTGTGATTTGATGACAAAACAACAAAGTGATCGAGTGGGACAGCACACACACATTTCTACTCAAATAAAAACAAAATACAGTTGATGCTGGAGATCTGAAATAAAAACTTAAAGTGCTAGAGAAACTCAGTATCTCATCTGTAGGCAGAAAAAACAGAATTAATGTTTTGTGTGAGATATGGTTCTTCTCCAGACTCGTCATACCGGACTTGAAATGTTCTCGCATGTTTCCTCTCAATCAACCATCCCATTTCATTTGATTTAAACACAATCCTTGAACAACTGTTGAGGCACACAACCAAAATTTATCTATAGATGTTAGGTCACTCCTGATATAACTGCAGTTTGACTGTTATATCGTCATGAGTGCTTTTCCATCACTTCATTTGTACAGGATCAAAGCATGTCCCACACTAATCCATAATTGGCATCAGCTACTGGGATACATATTCCATGAACTATCAGTCCACAACTTGATTCCATCCTTATCCATTCAAGCACTGTCTTGGATATGCACAAAAACCAGGAACAATTTTTAACATGGGAGATAGTAGGAACTGCAGATGCTGGAGAATCTGAGATAACAAGGTGTAGAGCTGGATGAACACAGCGGGCCAAGCAACATCAGAGGAGC